TCTCACCCCCAGAACAAGCCTGAAGTAGGTACCATGCTGAGCAAGTAGTTACATTGCTGGTCATCTTAGCAGAAGAAGTGAGCTTGGAAGGGCTTCATTCAGGCAATTAAGTGCTCAGTCTTGAAACTACCCTTCACCTCACTGGCCAAAACTGACAACCACACGGAACTTTTAGAACATTCCCCACTGTTGCTGGTTACCTAAATCATTGCCTGGATATGCACAACTGGTTACTCTAACAGTGACGGTCACTCAAAGCCCATACTGAAGCAACTGCCTAATTCACAATACCCAGGGGACACACACATTTTACGGTAAGGGAGATGAGACATGTTCAGGTCACACACACAATTTTTTTAACCTGTTAATGTGCTGCCTTCTTAACTATGGCTACTTTACAGTATAGTAATACTCCTAGTCAACTTTTCACTCTCAAACTCATCAGCTTGCTACTCATTTTTAAACTGCTTAATTTTAGGGCTTCACGTAGTCTATGCTTCATACTTATTTTTGAACTGTTCTAAAACTAAAACTTACAAATTTAGATTTGTTGGGTATCCTGGGATACAGTATGTGTGAAGTCATGACAAAACAAAGTTGAAATATGAGCTACTGGCTACAGTCCAGGCATCTGATGATAAATTCAAACTATAAAATATCTACAGCAAAACTCTTTATTTTAATTCATATAGGAGTAATATATACTTTACTTCTGCTGTATCAACATTTATGGGAATTCTTGCTAATGAGTGAATGAAAATGAAGCCAATTTCCCATTGAATCTCATTTTAATATATTAGACTATCCCCTCACGGTTATCATCTTGGAAGAAAATTATTCATTATTCTGACTTTTTATGAAAACCAGGAATGTACTTGGCATATTGAACATTTAATAACTACTCTGTTTATGTAGCAGGTCTTTCAATAATTAAAAGATTGAAGCCAGGAGCCAGCGCAGTGACATATGCTTGTAATCTCATCTACTGAGGAGGCTAAGGCAGGAGGTCTGCAAGTCTGAAGCTAACCTAGACAATTTAGTAAAAACCTGTCTCGAAATAAAATTTAAAAAGAGATGGAGATAAGGTTTAGTGCTTGAGCACTTGCATAGCATCCTCAAAGACCTAGGTTTGATCCAAGCACCATGAAAGGAAATTATAGAACAAAATATTATGAAGTTAAGTGCCAGAATATATGGAAGTCATCAGAACATACAATGACATCCAAAAGGACAAAAATAACATTCTTTAAATGACAAAATAATCTTTAGTGGTCTGTCTAAAATCTTGCCTCATTTTCACTGTCACATTAGACGCAAAAACCATTCTTCTTTAAAGGTACTGATACAAATGAGATTGTATCTGGACTAGTTTATTTTGAAGGAATAAAAACATTTCACTGTCATAAAAACCAGGAAGATATTTTGCAATCTTTTTTTGTCTATATCAAGCCTACTTTCCTTTCTTTACATCTCATAAAACAAGGTGCTGAACAAAACTTAAGGGATCTAAATCTACATTTCAATGCAATTAATTGGTATAATTTTTATTATAAAATATGGGTTAGTTGACAACAGCAAGAATTACTGCATCCCTGAACCCATAATCAATCAACACACTGAATGAATAGATATGATGTCTATTAGAAAATAAAGGAGCATACAAAGAAGAATAAAATACTCTCATTTCATTATTCAGAGAGTTATCATTTTAGTAGCTTCCTTTTAGGTGGTTTATAATACTTTCTGCATATGTGAAATACAAAGGATAGAGGAATACCACAGGGGTGCAATAAAATCTAGAATGTAGATAATTCTACACCATAAACGACCTATGTTCTTTCACAAACACATGATGCCTAGCTTAGATTTTTTTTTTTTTTT